TCCTCCTGAATTTGAGAAGTGGAGCAGGAAAACTGGGAAGGAGAGGTTAAAGCAGGTAAAATCCTATCACTCGTCTTAAAATCTGAATCCAGCAGCAAAACAGGACAGGGTTTATTGATTGCCTCAGGCCAGTGGTTCAAAGGACGACCGTCAGAGTGCAGCTGGTAAAGAGCCGCCTGGCAAACCTGAAACTTGGCGTGGTGCGGTGAGATGCTCGCAATCTGCCGAAACGTCCATAGGGGTGCAGGAGACTGGTGCGGTCTCTTGCATTCCTTCCACAGCTTCCTGGATTTCCTTGTTAAGGCCAAGGATTTATTGCGTTAACCGTGTTTAGGACATGTTGGTATCTAGATTATTTGAATATAGAATTGGAAAGAAACCAGGTATTTTTGATGTGTGACTCTTCACCTGTCAGTTGGACTACTTTGATAGTCTAAAACCCAAAGACCTTGTTTATCTTGTAATAGAGGAGACTATGTCAAAGTCCTTGTCTCCAGAAAAATCTCAAAATGTTGGTTTTGATCTTTCCTTAGAGCTGATTCATCCCATCATGTATTCTGTTGGTTTTGGCTAATTCTGTAGTGAAGCTGAAATACTGCAGTTGAACCTCGAGCTAGAGGAATTCGGGAAAGCTTGGTAGCTTGTATGATAATGAATTTGAGGTTTTTGTGATCGTAATCACAAAGTTGGTTTGAAGCTGCCGATAAGAGCTGTAGAGGAAGGCAGCTGAGAGCGGCAACGAAGAGTGCTGGGTGGCCAAGAGCGCTTTTGGAGTCACTTGCCACAGCACCGGGGCTGTATTCGGGAGTCTTGCCCGCAGGACTGATGTCAGGAGTTCCTGAAAATTGCTCTATGGAAAGACCAAACCAAATGGTGTAGAAAACAGCAAGACCCGTAGAGATGGTGTTTGTTTCAAGCAGTAACGAGCCATTGCAGCTAGCTATAGAATACCTTTAAATGAGTGGGTACCTTCGCTTAACGTGCATTTATGGCCTCCAGCAGATCAGCTGGGATCAGCAGATAAAGAACCAGAGTCTAAGTGGAAGAAAGTGGCTTCTTCGGATGTATCAAAGACGCAGGGTACTCCAAAAGGTAAAACCAAAAAAACTCACCCCAAATGCTCCAAACTTTTCTTGCTGGAAGACAGCGTCCTTGCCTGTTTGCATATGCCTCCTTTGCCTCATTACCACATTTAATGTAAAGGCATGGCCCATAATCTGTGTTTTTACCTTGACCGCTACAAATGCATGTTTATAGATTTCTGCTGTTGGCTTAATAGCAGCAGCAAAATTGAAAGTTCTTTTTTCCTAAAATTTACAAATACGGGCTAATTTGTAATTAGCATAGTGCAGTGTAATATCTACTTACTGTTCTAATCCTGTTACCAGTTTTATTACCAACTTGCAATGTATAGAAATGAGGGACCTGCTCACATAGTTGTTAAAATACGTGTGTGTGTGTGTATAAATACATATTTTCCAAGATCCTCATCTAAAATACTTTTCTATAAAACTACTGATAGCACTGGAGCTGTAAAAGAAGTTGCTAGCAAAATACAGATTCTTGCCGGTTGGCTTGGATAATATTCTCTGTGACAGAAAATACTTGCGTAACACACCACAGGACGAGGGTTAAACTTGGCAAATGAGGTGTATATAAATTACTTTAAAGGCCAAAAGACGCTGAGGTAGTTGCAGTGAGCTTCAGATCCGGAGGTCAGTTGCCGAAAAGTATGTTTATTGACATACTGTTTATTGACATAGGGCAGGTCACCTACTCTGATTGGAAGCATGATTTTTTTAATACCAAAAAAAAATGTAACTAACTTCCTTCTGGTACTAACAAATTGTATGGATTTGGCTAAAGAAATCTGAATTTTTTTTTTTTAAAAAGCTGCGTTTTGTTAATGTTGCGTGCTGTCTCTTCAGATTTGGATTACCTAGTTCCAAAGGCTGGCTTTTTCTGTCAGATCTGCTCGCTGTTCTATGCCGATGAAACGTCTGTGAAAAATCACTGCAAGACGCTGCTCCATCAGCAAAACATGGAGGTAATGCTGAAGCTTCTCCAAGCACACAGGAGTGAAAAGAATATCATTCCAAAAATGTTTGCTTTAATGAGTGCTAATAGTTTCCTAGTGGCATAGGGAGCTCATGTTAATACTTCAAGAAGTTTTAGTTTTAAACTTGGACAGGGATATTGTTAAATTACTCGAGCTCATCACTTACATAAAGCCTTCCTTGCCTAGGAAGGCGTGGGGAGAGCTGTTGTCCTCCCTTCGTGTTTAAGAAGTGATCTTTAAAAACTATGCCATGCTGTCCCCGAAAGCATGGTTTTGTCAGATTTTCTGGCTTGCGGAAACTGCAGCCTGGCTAAAATATCTTGCAGATATAAAATGACCAAAAGGTCAGTTTGGCGGCCAGAAAACTTTCAAGTTTGGGGTGAACCCCTCCAGACCCCTCAGCAGTACCTCTTGCCAGCGCACCCGGCCGGCAGGGACACAGCGGGTACCCCTTCCGTGCGAGGTGCTGGTGTGAGGGGTGGAAAACTGGGAAGATGATTTCTTGACCTAGACTTTTGTAAGGTGGGTGTACTGAATACCCAGCCCGTGGTGAATATTGAATAGCTGTTTTATTTTGAATGACCAGGCACCGGGGCCTGTCATCGTGTGAAAGCCCAATACGTTAATACTGTACCACGTTCCACTCGGGAGCTTTGCCCCTTGGCTCTGTGTGCGTGCCAGTTTGTGAGCAAAACTTCCGAGTGTTTTTTTGGTACAGGTCACACATTATCAAGTATAAGGAGTAGGCTGACTTTTGGCCAATGCATTTATGAAAGCTGCGCTGTTTTTAGAGTGTAAACCGAGGAATAAAATAGCAGTATCTTTTCACTGGCTACCCTTGTTTCTACAGAAATTCATGGCTAAGCAGAAGGATGAGGATAACGATGGGGAAGAGCCGAGTTCAAGGTGATTGGAGGAAAGAAGAGTTCTTTCAGTGAATTAAACCTAGGGTCCAGTCAATTTTGTGTATTTTGTTATGATTTAATTTGTAATTTTGTTTCAGAAATAAGCATTCATGTTGTATAAATTCGAGCTCGGTATGGACAGACTAAAAGAAAAACATATGATGGCTTTGATTTGTATATCAAATCATCTGACTTGGAAGAGACGACTTTTACAAGCGTCGACATAAAATAAATGTTCTTACTGTATAGTTAACACCAGGGGCTTGTGTTCGGTGTGATTTACTGTGTTTTGTTAACTCTGGGTCACAGTAGAGATGAGGGAATTCATTCCAGAGATGTCTCTCTGGTGCCGCTCTACAGAGCTCTCGGCGGGTGGGATTTCCCATGCTAGGTACGCTCCATACCGCCCCAAAGCAGTGACCCTCATGGTAAAGATTTTGGTGATCCCCTGGGTTGTTACGCTCCCTTTAGCCGTCGTTCTCCTGCGGCCTCTGCGATCCCACGAGCGTCTCGGGAAGATCAAGCTGAGGCCATCGAGGGGAGCAAAGCCCATTCCAGCACGGCGTTACCGCGGTCAGCCAGGCAGGTCACGGTCCCTTGCTGCTTCTCCTTGGTGACCGAGTTTGCTTGTTTATTTTGCGTTGTTTTTCCCTAGTTTGTTCCAGTCTGTAGGTCAAATCCTGCGGAGCACTCGGCAGCGTGGCTCAATTTTGTAATCTGCTCTTAAACGTTGCTCACTGCTAAGCCTGGGGCTCTGGCTGGCCCGCTCTTCGCAGTGGATTGCAGTCTGGGTCCTGATTGACTTTGCTTTGAGCTTTTGTTTTTCACCTCGCCACTTGAAATTTATTTAAAAGACTGTTTTTTAAAACCCACTGTTGTCTCTGCCCCTCTTTCGAGCTTTGGGTAGTTGACTTTGGCTGAATTACGTTCCTGCAGGAGGAGTAAAGAAGTGTTCCAAGGAAAATGAGAGACTTTGTGCTTTTACCTGGTGGGGACATTACAAGTCGTACCTGTGCCATAGCTGGTACAAAAATCCTCGTGTCTTCAGAGCGCTGATCAGTAAAGCACCAAAAGAAACTGAACTTACGGTTTGGCCAAGGAAACACCTGCACGCCGCTGGTGTTCCTTGTTGGGAGATGATCCCATGAAGTCCCTCAGACTTGGAGGTCCTTGCTTCTTCAGGAGGAAGCGTATGCAGAAAGAGGTACTTGTATTTGAGGTACTGACGTTGTTAACGATAACCGAGCTGGTAAATGTCCCTAAATTCCTGGCGTCCGAGCCGGGTGTGTGCAAGGAGGACAGAGCCTGCTCGGACGGCTCCAAAGCGAAGGCTTTGCTGTGGGCTCTTGGTGTCGTGCTGTCGGACAGGCAGGTTCCAAACTTTATGAATCGCCGTTGTTCGGGCTTTTTTTGTGTTTGTTTTCTGTTTTTCTTGGGTCCCTCCGTAAAGAACGTCCTGGTGAGTCACAGTGCTGGTCTGTCCCGGCACGTCTGTCCCCCGGTGAACAGATCAGCCTCTCAAAAATGCGCAGGAGGGATTTAGACCGGCAGATACATGGCAAGTCAGGGAGCGTGGTTCAGGGTAAGAATGGCTGTGAGCACACACGTGCCACCATCTCCGTCCCCTCTCTCTTCGCCATCTCCCCCCTCTCTTCTCTGTTTTGCTCTTCCCCGACTGCCGAGAGGAGCCGTTCCCTGCTCCAGAGTGGTACAGATGAGGTTGGGGTGATGTTATTGAACTCCCTGATTACTCTCACCTAGTTCCCCAGTTACTAGTGGGCTAGTGGCAATTCATATAGAAGAGAATTTAAAAATCCTGTCTGAAGTAACGGGGTACAAACTGGAGTTCAGCGCGACGAGCCTGCAGGGAGATGCCCGAGGGGTCTGCGGGGCTGTGCAGCCGCAGGGAGAGCCCAGGGGCTCGGCAGGGGGGCGCCCGAGGACAACCCGCCGCCCCCGTGGGCGACCTTTTTTCCCCAGCCTGGCCCGAGTGCGGGACGTGGCTTTCTGTCCTTGTTGGTCCTGGCCCCTCGGCACTGCCGCTTGATGTGTTCGTGCTGCTGTTTTCGGCCCCTCCGTGGAGTCGGGAAGACAATTCCTTGCCACGGTTTCTCTTTGTTGCTTTATCTGCGTGGAGGATGAGAAAACAATGTTGTTCTTCATCCCTGCTGCTGCTGCCGCACAGGCTTCAGTCCGAATTCGCCTTTGCCGAGTGTCCGGAGGGGCTGAGGACGAGAGGAGCCCCCCAGGCCCTGGGGACCGCCGGTCTCTTTGGGTCCTGTGCCCTGGGTGGGACTGGACTTGCGGGGTCCGAGGGGCTGGAATCGACCCGAGCTCGTCCTCCCGGTGCTCCCCTTTCCCTGCTCTGTCTCCCCCGAAGGCGTCATCTCCCATCCAGCTGCGAGGCAGAGTGTGGTCCTGGAGGATGCTGAGGTCTGAGGATGGGAAACTGAGTCGGTAAATCCTGGTTCTGCTCCGCAGCTGCGGCTCCCCGGACCCTCTTCGTGCCCGGCTTTTCCCTTTGAGACGCCGGAACATCTCGGGTAAAACCGGGTGAGGGCTGCAGCGGTCCCAGGAAAAGGCGCAGAGGTGTGGGGGGCTGCTTAACTGGGAATTTCAAAGAGGAAAAAAAAATAAATCCTGTTCCCCCAGGGTGATGTGGGGGGG